GCTTCACACGAAGATGCTGTACCCCTGACAGCGGGGGGGTTTGGGGGTAGTGTCACTGACAGAAGCAGTGATTTCCCTGAAAAGTCAGAGCATCGGCCGAGTAGAGATCCGCAGTTCTTAATTCAAATACTCAATACTTCGATCAAATTGATTGGATGGGTAAAGGAGGTGGCTTTGTCGCGTCAGAATGGCCTGGAACCGCCTCCCCACGACTATTGGAACCCTTTTTTAACTGGTTCCGCCTTGAATTTTTTTTCAACGGCTTTTTTACCATAATAGTTGTTCTCTCTTGAGTACTTACTGTTTTATATTGTATGTGTCACATTTCAGCGCAATCCGACAGGGGCCACCAGGGTACCTGTGGCACGGACACTGTCTGCTTCTACAATTATCTTCAACGGTGGAACAGAGACGGTCCCGACACCTCCAGCGCCGGAAGCAGTAATGTCTTCTCGTAGTCGATACCATATGGCACGAAATAAGAGAGGACTACCGCCGAAGTGTGAGGTAAGGTATATTCCCAAAATTATTATGTATAATCACCTCAGGCGAATAGTGTGATAAGGGCGTAAAGTGATCTATGAGTGACTCCACCCATATGATCTGCGCGGAATGTTAGATCGGTACCCTTAGACTTATTTTGACTTCAGACTCGCTCCTCATCCACTCGCCGTATCGATTGCGAAGAAATTGACGAGACCTTTGACGAGTTGTTCAAAGAGCTTGTACTATGCGGAAACACGAGCCCTAAAGCACAGGTGAACGCTATCATCCTCCTGTTGGTCCTTTCTAATGTGCGATAATGGGATTGACCCTCCCAAATTCCTAATTTTGGAAATAGACGGGAAATTGAGAATTCTCTAAGAGAGGGCCAAAGAACTGAGCAATTGCTCGCTTCTCCAATCTATACCCCGTAGGATTCATAGTACCCTCGCCTCCCCATCAGAGTGGCGCCGTTGACGTCATTCAGTTGCAGGCCAAGTCCGCCGGCACGTCTTCTACATCCACCGATTCTGCTATCGAGGATA